TAGAGGACTTTTTCCATGTGGTGTGTACTAGTCCCTTACCAGTTATTTATTCTTTCCTTAAGTCCCTCTAGGAGGGGAAGCCATTGAATGACTTTCCTGTTCCAATTCACTCGCATTAGCCATGCTTCTAACCTTTGACAGAGAAGCCTCTTCTTTCAGGGTCATTTTTCTTAGGTTCTTTTCCCGTCATTCTTTCTCACAAAAATATTATTTAACTTGATACTTACCAGTATATACTTTTATTTACAATACATAAGCACCTTGCATTTAACTTGTCCTTTGAACACTCATTCTGCCTTCATTAGCAATTTCTGTCAGAATTAGGGAAGGTTTTGCATTGCATAGATTTAAATAGTGAGGACCTTTCTTTTCCTGAAAGCAAGGATTAGTGATTGAGCACTGGACCGCTGCCACACTCCCAGAACTCTCTGGGACTCCGCTTCTTCCACCCATCTGCCATCACTCACTTGGGAATAGCCTTTGTTTTCAAGTCTGAGATGATCCAGGTGCCACATCACTCTCATCAAAACAGTAAAAGACGAAATGTCGAGAAGAATTAGTGAAGGAAATATTTGCATTTTCTTTAGGAAGGATCTTTTTACCTTTTAACATATAAATGCATTTAATACCATATATCAAATGTCATACACTCAAGAGACAAATAACTGGTAACAAACATTGGAAAAATGTGGTAATCTCATAGGACTACATATAAATACATTCATATGTACAATGGCATTAGCACTATCAAACCAAGAGTCATTGATTCAGTATATACAAATGATAAAGAAGCTGAGAAAGAAATCAGAGAAACATCACCCTTCACAATAGCCACAAAGATCATAAAATACTTTGGGGGTAACCCTAACCATTCAGAAGTGAAAGACCTGTATCTGGGCACTGAACTGAACTCCCAAAGTCCAACTGAAGAGCGGAAGGAGTGAGAATATGAGCAAAGAGGTCAAGACCGCGATGGGAACACTCACTGAAACAGTCTACCTGAGCTAATGGGAGCTCATCAACAATAGCTGAACAGGGAAGGAAACACCATAGGTTCAAACTAGACCCTCTGAATGTGGGTGACAGTTGTATGGCTGGGCCACTTCAGGGCCACTGACAGTGGAACCAGGATTTATCCCTACTGCTTATACTGTTTTTGTTTGGAACCTGTTCATTTCGGATGGATACCTTGCTCAGCCTAGATAGAGCCGGGAGGGCCTTGAACCTTTCCCAAAGCAATGTGCCTAACTAACCCTCTCTGAAAAGTGGTTGGGGGATGGAGTGGAAGGGGGTTAGGTGGAAGGAAGGGGAGGAGGGAAGGGAATGGGAACTGGGATTGGTATGCAAAATGAAAAAAGATTGTTTTCTTTTTTAAAATAAGTAATAAAAAACAAGAAATGCAAGTGATGAAAGCTCAGTTTTCATTGGCTGGACTAAATTATTTGTAGAGAGATGAGGACATGAAGTTGGGAGAGCAGTGAGGTGGGTGGGTACCAGAAGATGTAGATGGAGGAAGGTGGATGGAGATGACTGCATCTGTGCATGAAATTTTTAAAGAAAAACTAAATACTTTAAGGAGGAAACATCCAAAAATGGATGTTTGTTGGACAGAGATGAACTATAGCTCAATAGCTGTTAGCAAAGCAATTAACATTAACCAAAATTCATCTTCTTTAGGAAGGATTCTTTAAGCATATTAAGGTCTGTCTGCCTGTGTCAAATAGTGAGTCCCTAAGAGCTACCTCTAGCCATAGCAAATGTAGGAAAAGCAGCTAAGATACATATTAGTTTGTGAGAAGATAAAACCAGTTATCCTCGGAGATTGAAGCTTAAATGGCACAAAGAATACATACAGTTTTATACAGGTAACTACATCAGTGAGCTAGAAATCCTCTGCTTAGCGTCACTATCAGCTCAGTTGCCTCTCTGAATTAGTTTGTCTTAAAAATTGACGCAATCCTCATCCTGCCAGAAATTCCTCACACCATTTATGGTTTAGGATGAAATACAATTGGTGAGTTGATTAGCATTTTGAAACTGCATAGATATGAAGTATTATCTTTTGAAGCATTAAGCAATGTGCTGAGTACAAACTAAGAAAATTCCTAAGGAAATATGTTGATATTTTATATATGGTGGATCATGACTTATGAGAATTATTAGGTACTGATTTAGTGAGATGGCTCAGTGAGTACAGTGCTTGGAATACAAATGTGAGAACCTGAGTTCAAATTCTTGGAACCATAGAAAGCTTGATATGATCATATGTAAGCAAACCCCGTGCTCCTGTTCTGATATAAGAGGGGAGCTAGAGTTAATAGAGTGTGTAAGCTTACAGACCGGATAGCCTGGTTACATATCTGAACAACCCAGAGACTCTGCCTCAAAATAAGGTGGAAGATGAGCACAGACACCTGGGGTGGCCTCTGACCTCCACATGTGTAGGGTGGCATGTGTGGCCCCATGTCCATCAGTCATCCACATGTAAGAAAGGGGATATTCACTGTTAATGTTAAATAACTATTTGTGAAACACTTTCAAGAGCATAGCACATTTTTTTGGGGGGGGGGGTAAAAGCCCCTGTATTGTGTGCACTGTATTGTTCTGCCCACATGGAGAGGACACGGAGTTCAAAGCCTTGTGACCTTGTGACTCTGAGTGGCTGGTCTAGAAACATCCACCTTCACACAGTTTGTCTCTTAATCTGTGCTGCTGTTCTACTCTTCGTGGGTCAGGCTTCTCTTGTCTGTTTGGTAAAATCCGCATCCCCATGATTAGGAGGATACTTGTCTGTTTCCAGGTTCTGTGTTCTCATTTCTCCCGAGAACGCCCTCAGCCGTCCTCTGTTTTCCCAAGGGTCAGCTTCAATCCTGTGCTCTGCGTGAAATATTTCTAAATACCGCAGGCCATGGGGAGACTTCATGTTTTCCCCTGAACTTCCCAAACATACCAGCTATGTTCAGAGAAGTATATATTTATTTGATTATAGAAATAAATTGTGCACTGCATTAGGTTACTCCGTATGTCTTTCCTTTGTCTCCTTAAACAGACTATATTATATTTCTTAAGCAATTTAAAATGTGCATGACCCATGCTGAGCCTATAGGAAGAACTAAAATTAGCTCAGCTCTAAATTGAAGGAACAATTAATCCTTAAACAACGATTCTAACAGAGTCTATACTTCTATGAAAATCGGAAAACAGGTTTAAGGAGGGAGAGACTTAGCCAGTGCCAGCAACTAGAAATCCAGTTCTGCCACCGGAAGCCTGTAGTCTAAGGCCTGATTCTTTCCAAGTCTCAGCTGAACACTTGACTAATCTAAACACTGTACATGCCTGTGTTTGTGCTGTGTGTGCAAATAGCTTACTGTCTCGAGTTGAAAAAAAAAACCCTGGTCGAAGCAATAGGGTTAATTTGTGGGGGGTTCCCTATTAAACTTTGACAGTATCAGAAATGAAGAATTTTATGTGTAGAGAGGGTGCATGATCTCTGCTACTCAGTTTATTAAAGAGAACTGCAAGGGACTCTTTTACAAAAGTAGTCATGAGATATCTAATGCCTCCCGGCAATGCCATCTGCAGAGTAACTAGATGGGTGATTGCTTCCCTCCGGTGTGTGATGCAAATATTTTCAGGGTCGTATTTTCTGCTTATGCTCATTCTGTAACCTCAAAAGCAGCTGGACCCAGGGCTGGGACATATACTTAATAATAAGAAGGTATGCTGGAAGGAGCATGGGAAACCAAATTGCCTTTGTCTTTTCTGGTTCATGCATTTGCTTTTCTCTTAGTGGACACACTGCCTTAGCATTTTGGGTCCCAGGTAACTTGAACACATAAAGATGACAATGTTCCTGTTTGATTTTAGGTTGTCTAAACCAGCTTGCCAACTTAATTTTTAATCTGCTATATAGTCTGCCTTTCTTTAACTATGACATATATCTGTTGCTGCTCAAGCCGTCCATAAAGTGCCTGTTCACTTGTCTTAGTTGCTGTTCTATTGCTGTGAAGAGACACCGTGTTTAAATTAGCTTATAAAAGAAAGAGTCTAATTGGGACCTTGTTGACAGTTGCAAAGGGTGAGTCCATGGCAACCATGGCAGGGAGCAAGGCAGCAAGCATGTAGACATGGCCTTGGAGCAGTAGCTGAGAGCTCACAACTGATCCACCAGCAGGAGGCAGAGTGATTGAGCCAGGGCCTGGCATGGGCATTTGCAACCTCAAAGTCCATCCCTAGAGACACACCACTTTTCCTCCAATAAGACCACACCTCCTAATCCTTCCCCCAAGCAGTCAGTCCACCCACTAGGGACCCAGCATACATATAGATGGGCCTATGGGGGGTCTCTCTCATTCAAACCACCACGTCACAGTGTATCTTCATTTCCATGCAAAGACTCAAAATCTCAAGAGGCAAGCTCTCCCCACTGTTGCTCCGTGTTAGTCCATGATTGTGTTCACTGTTTGGGCTCCAGACCTTTTCCGGGTCACAGCAAGAAGACTGACTCCGGTTCGGTTGTGTTTTAAAGATTATACTTTACTGTTACTTGGGAAGGATGGTTGTTTTTATTATTTAGGGGTTCTTGTTGCAAGTTATGTGTTAGAAAACTGCGCTGTACTACTTCGTGTGCTCATTTTGGGGAGCAGGGGTTCCAGATATTCCAGTCCATGTAGACTCTCGCAGTCCTTCCAACCTAGCATTTCTGTTTTAGTTGAATCACACACCTCACTGGAGCGTCTATGAATGAGTAATTAATGGTGTTGGAGAGGCAAGCCATGGCAGTGTAGTCCCCAACTTGTTTTAATTCTCCTTCCTTCTCCCCACCCCCGCTCTGTCTCCTCTCTCCCTTCCACTCCCTCCCCCTTTCCATCACTCTGTCCATGCTGTTTCCAGTAAATGGATTTTGACGCTGAAAATTGCAAGAATATTATAAAAATCAAGATGATTTATTCACTAGGTCATTAATCTTTTTCTGTCTTTTATTTTTTTTCTTCTTCTAGCCCTCTTCAATCTAATTCCTGTGGGACTGCGGGTGGTGGCCATCCAAGGTGTGAAGGCCAGTCTCTATGTGGCCATGAATGGGGAAGGCTATCTCTACAGCTCAGTAAGTAGCTCACGTGTGTGTGTGTGTGTTAATGAAGTGATCCAAACAAGGAACTGATGTCACTTTATATTTTCAAATTGATTTTCAGTACTATTGCACCATGCCCCAGCAATGAAAATAAACCAGTTACTTGCTGTGTTATATATTCTTACATCTCGTTTACACTTCCAGAGAGTGCAGTTTGGAATTTCCTGTCTGTGCAGTTCAAAGAGTAAGACACTTTTTCTTTCCCATGTTAATGCTCCATCAGGGACAGAAGATGGTTATAGAGGGTCTTCTTTATCTTATTGCAGAGAAAGAATTTTCATCGACTCTGCTTTTGTTTGTGCTTAATCAGTCCTGTGTGCCCAATATGTCATATGCTTTAGTTTATGAATAATTTAGAGATTATCTAATTTAAAGACAATGGATTTGCAGAGTGAGCTCTGGATTACGAGCAGTGATATCAGTATGGCTTGCACATGTCAGTATAGTGTGTACATGCGCGTGTATGTGTGCATGTATTTGTGTGTACAAATAACTTTTCCACCTTATCTTAATTTCTGGATCTTTAAAGGGTTGGTGTGGCTTCCTCCCTTGTGTACTATCTCCTCAAATCTATAAGTGACAATTGTGTATTACCAGTGGTTTCAGTTTGAGCACTGACATATTTTTAAGTTAAGACTATCCTGATTGTTTTTTAATTCATGCACTGAAAATGTAGCTATTCAGAAGATGGGAATGTCCTCTTTGTGTTTCATTTAAAAAAATGTCCTTTTGAAAATCACAGCTAACGAGTTCTACCCAGTCTGTAATCTTGGACATCGTACAGACTATCTAAGAAGTTCACCTGTGTTTCTCAGCTGTGGGTTCAACACTGAATAGTTGTAGTAGACGTCAAATAACTACTAAATGAGCATCTCATATATTATACTTGTTTATTAGTAATACATCTGTTACCGTGCTATATTACAGCTGCAATCATATAAATGTTCCCAACAACCTATGATAAATATCATGGTTACAGATAGTCCAATTAGTCTGATGGGATCACTGCATGTTGTTTTCCTTTATTGCTGTGTCACAAAGTCCCTCACAAATATATCTGTAATTATTGTGCTAGTTAAAACACAACATAACTGAAAAAGATCAAAGGTGACGCTCTACTTCTGAGCATAGTCAGATTTGGATATTCATTTATAGACGGCATACACGGGCACACATTTTCAAGTTGATGATCAAAATAACATTTAATGATGAAACATTTTCAGCCTAAGTGACAAGCATTTGCTTTTCATGCATCATGTTAGGTACACTAACAACTCTGCATGTGAAGTCATCAGTCATTTAAACCCCTTTAAATTTTTTCTTAATTTTTCAGCATCAGAGATTGAACCCAGGGACTTGCATATGATAGGCAAGTGCTCTACCCCTAAGCTATCGCACCAAGCCCTTACAAATTCATTCAAAATAGAAAAAAAAAATAAGAATAAAGAAGGGCCCTATGTTGAATAATTCTAGTTAGCTAAACTGCTGCTGCAACACAGATGTTGACTGGGATTAAAACAAAAATGTGGAGATGACACAAGGATGGTATTAAAGATGAATACATCACATAAGCATGTAAGGCTCAGGGTACAATGGCAGAGTGTGCAATGTCACTGTAGGACTTGGGCCATTGATTTTCATTGGCCAGTGTTTTGTGTATAGAATGGATGGGCAAAGGGGGTTCATTCAATTTGCAGAATTGTATTCTTTCTATACTTCTTATTTAGAAGTGAAGCTAAACGCGAGGGTTGGGGTCTGCAGGATGGAGAGGTTTTAAAGAAACTTGCAGTTTTGATTGCAGTCCTGACTTGAAAATAGAGCCAACACCTTTGTAAAACCAGTACTCATTCCCTGCATGCCTTGCTGCAAAAGATTGCTTTTGTCACCTATAGAGTCATGGTGCTTTCTTTGCTAGGGCACCAGGGACAAGTATCCTATAATTCTAAGCAGATCATCCCTGGCATAGGTGAACTGGCTCTATTCTCTCTAAAGGTCCTATCTCTGTCCCAGACTGGTAGGGTGCATCCTGGTTTTTAACAGTCTCTAATAGGACTCTAGGGACCAGGATCAGAGTGTACGGGCCATAATACACTCTGTCCTCCAGCTTTCCTTGTCCGGTGTGCTGCAGTGCCAGACTGGCGCAGAGGCCTTGTGGCGGTTACAGAGGCAAGTGGTAACCCCAGTTTCCTGGTGTGTGTTCGCCACATATGAAGACTTGAAGTTATTTGAAAAGCAGCTTCCTGTTTTCTGTGACCAGTGCAGTGGGGCACATCAGTGAGGACCATCAAGGAACATGTGGAGGGATGGTGGGTGGTGTCCAAACTGGAGAAGTCCTAGAGAAGCTGAGGCCAAGTGCGATCCTGTCCATACTGCCATTTTCTGGCCTCTGTTTAAATTTAAGCGGGAGGTGCGTTCCCTTGTTACCTTTGAGTTCTCTTCATTCACTAAGAAGCAGGAGCAGAGATGAGTAGTGGAGGTGGGCTGATTGCTGGGTAGCGTGGAGAGAGCTAAAGGGTTAAGGTCTGTTCTCAAAATCCAGGCAAACTAATGCATATCTCTATCTATAACTGTATCTAGATCTATATCCATTCATAGCATCTGTATTCATATTCATATTTATCTGTATCTATTTACATCTATATTTTTATCTATATTGTCTATATATATATCATCTGTATCTATATCCATATAGATTTGTATATCTACATAGATATATAAATAAAAATGTAGATATATTGGAAGAGGTTTTTTATGTATCTGTATTTGTTTTTTTAATCATTGCATTTTGCCTGTTTAAAACTACATTGGTTTTTATCTTTTAAAACTCTCATGCATTACTGAAAATTTTCCGTTTTTCTTTTACTCTTCTAAACTTAGGGTACATTTCTTTTCCTTTAGTGTTTGCTTCTAGTTTTCAGTTTGCATATAGCCATGATTACATTCATTGATAAATATTGTTGTGTTTCTATTTTCTAAACAGTTCATGAGCTATAGAATATTTTCTTGGCTCTTAAAACACATCTCACCAATCTGAATGAATGTATTTTTGAATAAATTATTTGTGGATAGTGATTGCATTTTATCATATTTAGAAAATAATTTCTACGAACAGTTTCTCTGTGTGTCAGATTTACTCTTGTTGTGTTTCCTCTTTCTTCAAACTACATATTTCATTGTTCTTTTTGTGAGAGTCCGTATAAAGTAACTGCTTGGGTTTTGTATAAAGATCTCTGTGTAACAGATAATTTCCTGCCTCATAAAAGCATGCACACTCTTCCATTCCTCCCTTTGACTGTAGTTCATTTACTTGTAAACATCTCACTGGACTGGCATTTCCCATAACATCCATGAAATGATATTCCATTGGTTTTTGGCATCTGTTGTTGAATGTAGGAATTTGTTGTCAATTTAATATTTCCTTTGAGGTAATCTCTATGGAAACATAGAAATATTTTCACTTTATATTTCCTGTTCTTAAACTGTCTTTACCAGTTAGAAATTTGTAATGAATTTATAATCCAAAGAGTTACAGTTCTTCAATTCTAAAAAGTTTAACTTGTATGTCATATCCATTTTACCTCTCAACCATACTTTCCAGTCTTTCACACCATTTCTATGTTGTAAATTAAAAACATTCAAACTCAGTGTGTCCAAATTTTAAGCTGTTTTGTGATTTCATCATGGTGTCTTTCGTTTCTGATGCTGAGTGACTTCTATTAATATCCTCCCATCCTTGATTTATTTCTGCCTGTTTTTAGTGTATGACTTTTTTCACTTCTTACAGAAAGTTATTAGCTTATCTCGCCAAGCGTTTCTAACATAATTGGTCAGTGTTTTCCATAGTTATGAACTCACATTTTAAGCATTAATTTTCTTGAGTGTCACATTCAGGCTACACATTAGAATTAATTCTTTAAGTGCACTGAGGCACTTTGGTTTGGGGCATGTTCCTTTCCTTTTCTCTTTGATAGTTCTTCCTGTGATGTCTGTCACTTTGTTCTAGCAACTTTTGGGGTGGCTTCTCACCAATTGTCAATACCTCAAGTCTAGAGTAGTTTTAAGGCATTCCCTAGATGAGAGTAACAGTGGGGTGAATGCAGGAGCCTGGGCTAAGATGTGGTTTGGTCTAGCTGGTCTTGGAATGGACTGTTCTATGTTTCAGGAGAGAGCATCATTTTTTTCTTATTTTTTATTTATTTATTTATTTATTTATTTATTTATTTATTTATTTATTTATTTATTTATTTTTGGTCACTGCAAGATACTCCAGTGCAGCTCATTGTATTATTAGCTAACCAGATTCTGGTCCTCACTTTGCACAGAAGGATTTTAATGAACTGAACTAACTTGAGAGAATTCAAGGCCAACTGGCAGTCTTCAGAACCTAAAGCCAGGCCTGCCTGAAGATGTAGCTGGTTGCGATGTCATTTCTATTCCATGGGAATGTTGTGTTTGTTTTGACAGTACTGTCCTTGAAGTGGTGGATAGGCCTTGAGTTTTGTATCCCACTGTCCTTGCCCTTACTGTAAGCAAACAACGAATCTTTCTTTCTCTCTCTCTTCTCTTCTCTTCTCTTCTCTTCTCTTCTCTTCTCTTCTCTTC